TTGGCCGTTGTTGAAGATTCTATGACAGTAATAATGGTCTCAAGTAAAAAGTTTTCTCAGGTTTTTTTTGGAGTACTCATTATTTTTTTTTTATCTAAATACTAACATCAAAACATCTCCTAAAGATTAATGCACCTTATGTTTTAGTCTACATTCATCTACTAATGCAAGTAAATGCTTAATATTTAAAATAAAAAAGTGAAATTAAAATTATTTATATTCAAATACTATTTTTATTATTTATTTATAAATGCAAAGGCATTACTCTGTTTTTTTTTTATAAGCAAAGGCATCATTCTCTTCATTAATGAATTTAATTGACTTAATGCTTAGAACTTTATTTTCTTCACTAATAAAGCATAGCATATCAAACCAATACAAATGTAATCACTCCAAAGTAGAACACCTATCATTATATTGAAATTAGTAAAATTAATATTGGCATTTTAAGGTGAAAGAGCAGCTAAATTTGCATGAGGTCAATTGTTTTTTGACTAATTTTATTGATGGCAATAATTTTTAATTTTCTCTCATTTTAATATAATTAAGGATTAAATTTCAAATCATCGACCTTAGAAAACTTATTTAATTAATGATTTTGTTATAGCTATATATTTATTTAGAATGTAAGTCTATTCTTGTCACACCCCAACACTAAGGGTATGATCGACATGAATATGATGTGGACACACATTCCATAAGCTTTGATTATCTAGAAATTAAGCTAAATTAATGATATATGTGCAAGTTATATATAATAGTAAGGTTCTTAAAGTTTTTGTAAAAATTTCGTCAGATATCCCCTATAATTTGAACCTCCAAATTTTCAAAACAACTACGGAACCTGCCAATCAAATTAGTAAGGAGACTAGCTCCATCCCAAAATTTTTCCCATAACAAAATAAAACTAGGATCCATCTATGGTGTATGTGGAGCACTAACTTATAATTTACAAATATAAGGTTTTACCAAAAAGAGTCATCACCATGTACTTCCTTTATGCCCTCACTTCATAGTCAATTTATTTGAGACCAAAAAATTTTATAGTGAGTAGCGTCCAAATCTAAATTTTAATAAAGAAATATATAAATATAATAAATAACAAATTTAACTTGAAATAATTTAATGAAATAATGAATTATTTAAGATTGAAGACAAACAATGATTTTCATAATCATGTGATTATGAATTTAGACAAGGCAGATAGAATCACATATGTGTGTATTAAAAATTTTACTGCTTACAAGATATAAAAACTTATAATAAACATAGTTTGATAAGGTATTTTTAAAAAATTTCTAGAAAATGATAAGTTTAAATTTAAAAGTTTAGAAGGGTTTTATCAGAACGAATAACAATGTAGACACACAGTCTACGAGGATAAATAATCAATCAAGCGTGGACACACAGTCCACGAGGGTAAGTAACTAGTCAAGCACAGTAGGAGCCACGAACCAATGAAAACAAGTGTGAGTACGATGTTCATGAATAACCATCCCTCCATTCCACGTGCGTCGCCATCGCATGAGGTTAATACCTCCAATAAGCACCCTGCTAGCTGGGTGCACCATGGAGCACAAGGGCTAACGGAACTACCGTTAGCATCCAATGTTTCGAACTCCATCCTCCTTAATAAAATCAAACATGTATGGAGCGAGATAACATTTTCAAAATTTTTCTCTATCGATTACCATTCAACTATTAATTCTTATTGCCCAAGTTCATTTTCATATTAAATATGAAATTAAATAATTAGGTTGTAATAACATAAATTTATAGCTGGGAATACGGGCGTGCCCGGCCTATAAAGGCCCGGCCCTTAAGGCCTTTAAGCCCAATTATCCATTTTCAGCCTCTTTTTTGAGGTTTGGCTCTTATGTAAAGGGCTCAGGGTTGGGCTCGGAAGCTCTGTTCAAAAAAAAAAATAACTAAAATAAAACTAAACATTATAAATTAATTAAAATATTTTAAAATTAAAAAATTAAAATCCATACAATATTTTAAAAATTAAACAATATGTTTAGAAATCTAAACAACACACATTCATCAATCAAAACCCAAATCCTCCTTATCCTCATCATCTATAAATAAAACATTAAATCCCTCAAATGGAAGTGTACTTATTGAAGATGGAGGTGGACATTCAATATCAATTACCTTTACAACTTCTTCTTGATCACCTACAATAAATATTAACAAATTGTGTCATTATCAATCAAATATATGTATGTATGTGTATATATATATGAAATAATCAGGCTTATCAGGGCTTGGAGGGCCGCCCAGGCTCGAGCCATTTTTCACAAGGCTTATTAGGGCCAGGCTCTCAAGCCCAGTTCCTTTGAAAAAATAATAATTTTTAAAGTCCGAACCCTTATTTAAATAGGCCTACAAGCCCAACCCTCCAGGCCCGACCCTTATTCTCGACTTTACATAAATTATTCATAAAATCAAGACCTAATTATTATAGAAATTGAATTGAAATGACATTTAGACAATTTATAAAGGAATAATAATAATAATATTTAAAACAAAGAAATTTAAAACAAATTTAAAATTTATTTGAAATACTACCCACTCACCTGAGCTTTTAAAATCTTACATCCAACTCTCACAAGTTCTTGCTTATTCCAATAGTGTTCTAAAATTAATCTAATACATATTCCAATAATCCTCTTGTCACTATGCATATTTATTATTTCTCCAGGCTCTATTATAAAATTTAACAATCCTAGTTCCATCAATTTCCTCTTTCAATAATTCCTATAAGCATTATAAGAACCTTTATAATTAACTAAATTATATGGCTTGCATCCAAGCAAAATCAATAATTTTTACATTTAGTTTCTTCACCACAGTTTTAGCTTCGTTTAACAAGAAACTAAAATAACACCTAAGTCTTCCTACAAGTCTTATGGTAGAAACATTGAAGAACAAAGCAACAACCTCAGCCAGTGAAAGGAAAAAGGAAGGATTCACGTCATTATTAGAATTGAAGGAGTAGGAGGAAGAATTAGTATTTTACCTCTATCAAAGTGTAATGATAGTTGCTATACACTGAGATATCAGACCAAACGAAGAAGAGTGTTAGTGCTTCAACTCAGCTATACAAAGAGGAGGAGATGGAGCCTGAAATTATTGACAAGAAGAAAAATAAAAATTTAAACCAAAGCTTCATCACACACGGACGTTTAGTAGACAAAATAAAGGAAGGATGAAGTCTAAACTTGCACTCACCACTGACGTCCATGTAATCGAGAAGAATGATAGAACTATATCCTCCTCTTCCACCGTGATAGATGAACGAAGATAAAGAAGAGGAAGAAGGTGACAGCGACGACAGCAACCCAGTGACAGACTCCTAATGACACCAAATAGCATGATAACAGTGGAAAAATATTAGCAATTTAACTCACAGTAGCTGGCACAAGAATGATGAGGCTGGCAGTGATGATGATGACAATAAATGAAGCAACAACCACACGAAAATTCTCAGCCAGCGATAAAGTAAGGATGTAAACAAGAGTTAGAGAGAGGAACCGACTATGTGAGGCTCTAAAGAAGTGTAGAATGACGGTGAAAAAGAATGATCGAGATGCTCTGTTTTTATTCACATAAACAAGATGATTTCAGAGCAAAAGAAGAAATGGAAAAATTACAAAAAAAACACAAGAAATTACAATAAAATGCACAAAAAATTACAAGAAAGAACATAAATTTTTTTTCTATAATTTAAAACCAAACTTTAGCTTAAAAAATTTGGACTTTGAATCCTTGTAAAAGTTTCTAGCATAATCTCCTATAAACTACCCTTTTCTAATTGCTATAAGACTTATTAAAATATTAGTAAATTTTTTTTTCAAATTAAAATTTAAGGTCATTACAATTCTCTTGTATATTGCATGGGGAAGTAAATGTCAAAGAAAAACATATTAAACAAATATAGATATAACCAGCTATAAAAGAAAGGATTTATCTCTACATTTAAATTAGTAAAATAAAAGTCGGTATTTCTAGATGAAAAAACATTTAAGTTTGCATGAGGCTCATTAATTTAGGAATAATTTCATTGCGTGCAATATTTTTTCTCATTTTAATATAATTAGTTGATAAAATTTCTATTTGGGTTAAAATTAAAATGTCGTTTACAAGGGCTAAAACATAAAATAGGCTGAATAATTGAAGAGTCAGGCCTAATAAGTGATCCAACAATAGGGACAATCCAGATCATAATGGAATAGCCTATTGAGAAAAGCAAGGGTCTTTGAATCTCTTGAGGCTTGGAGTCATTGCCTAGACTGTTGCGATACATAAAACCATAACTTCAATGGGCTCTGAATCTTGTAAAGACTTGACCATTATTCACGAATATCTCGAAGACACGGGCTGATAGTTAACAATAGAACACATTGCGAGTAGAAAGACTGTACCATAAATCTCACAGACTGTGCATATTGAATCCTTGATATTTCGCAAATGAGTTTCAAATTCTGTGGGAGCAACCGCCTCAGCCAAACCATTATAAAAAGAAGATCATAGAGAAAGAGGTGAACAACAACATATTTTCAAACACTGAAATCTTTCGAACTTATAGTTCTTAAATTTTTTTTCATCATTTTTAGTTTTTTTATCTTTGTAATTTTTACTACTTTGTAATTTGCCTTCAACATTAATCAAATACTTGTTATTCTAACTCTCTTGCATCTTTTACATTCGAATAAATTATGATAAAGAAGTTCAGAGACACTTTGTTATTATTTGAAACTCAGAGTCTCTGATACGCTTTGTAATTTTGTTGTTCACGACGAATAATTTGTGGCATGCCCAATAATTTTGTTGTTCATGACCAATAGCTTCAAATCACTACTCTGAAAGAATTTATTCATGATTTACCTTTTTATTGTTTTGTATATTCATTTCTTACAAACAAAATTAACCAAATGAATAATTTTGCAAACATTTATAGGGGAGTTTTTTTTGGGTAAAAAATGAATAATTTTGCAAAATGTGACGTAATTTTTAAAGATAATGCCTTCCTACGGGGAGTCAATGCTAGTTTTGTTGAAAGTAAGGATATAGCTTCCCTGCACTAAGTTCTTTTTGCCCCCAAAATTCTTCACTGAACATGATGCCAGAAAAACTGTAGAGGCGTTTACAAGATGCGTTCCACAAACTAAGGTCAACAAGAATGAATGTAATTGGAGAGCTGTCACAGTAGGCATGAGCATGAGCGAGGGTAACGCGACCAATATTTTCAATTGGCATCAGCAAGAGCTGATGATGGGTGTGCCTGCTGGGGCAGTACGAAATGCGCGCCTTACACCTCCATCCACTTGTCAGATAATTCCAACTCCACCCTTTCGGCCCAGCTCTACATTCCTTAAACATAAACAGCAATTTCGGGTGGCAATGAATGGAGGCCGTCTTCAAGCCACGTCACGATTTCGTCGCTCATTATTAATGCCAGAACATTCTGTCCGCCCATGGGCTGCTCACTCTGCTTCCTTGTGATCGTATCCTGCAATGTCCATGTCAAAAACCAGATCCAGTTCTATACAATTTCATCATTCTCAGTATTTTATTAATTACATTCATTACTACCCACTAGCTATTTCAAACTTACAACCATCTCCTGAACAGCATGATTCGCAGCATTTCCATCATTACGCCCGAGGGTGGCATCCCACGCCTGTCTCCAGGTCGTTCGAAACCCCAATATCTCCTCCTCCTACACACACACATCCATCCATTAATGATTACTTACAATTGTTAGCAGAGACAACATTGAAGCGCACGAAATTTACTACTTCCAAGACTAAGCTAATATTGTACTTCGCTAGCGGGAACAAATGTTGCGGCCGTAGTTTCAGTGCAAGTACTGTGTTCCTTCGTGAGCCACGAGATAGAGAAAATGATACCACCGCTTATGCTGGCGGTATCCGCGACTATCAATGTCAACAACCCGCTATCTTTGCTAATGAGCTGGTCGGCCACGTCGCAATTGAAAGTCATCTGACGACCTGGAAGTAACCAGTCATCAAGCAGGACCTTAACTTTAACAGACTGGAGGCCGCGACCAGGAGAATCTGCAAAACAATGCAGTCAAATGTCAATGCATTAAAGGAATTACTATAACTTTTTGGTTTAAAATGGAATTAATAGTCGCCCACTTTACCTTGTATCTCCACTCTTCGGCGTCCACATCTCACCCAGCCAGGCAACAACATCATGTTGTCCTTGTACTTCAACGGCTTAACGTCTTCAGAACTAAGTAAGGGGAACTCCATTTCAGGAACTCCTACAGGTGTGCCTCCATGAGGATGATTCCCTGATGATGCAAGGGTAGCCCCAGCAGTGTCACTGGCCCCAAGACTGCTCATCCTTACGATATCTGCACAAAGATATATGTTTTATATATATATATATATAAGAAAAAAATTAAAAGCTAAGGAAGACACGAGAGAGAGAGAGAGAGAAACATCATGAACTACATCCACTAATCATATTTCTACCAAAAAAGAAAAAAAAAAAAAAAAACTCTCTTCACTTGTGCCTCCACTAGAGTTTACAAGACACTACCATTTCACATCATTTTTTCTTCTTCTTTCCCATGCATTATATAACCTTGCTGTAAAGATTTAATTATCAGATGATAACACACTTCATTCTCGTGTGTCACGCATGTATGACCTATCCCATTTCTGTGGAAACATGCTTAGTCATGTTCTGACTGCTGACTCTTTTGAGCATTTGCATTGCAAGCTTTTAAAAGTTCACACCTCACCATCTACTAAAAATTTTACACATTTCATTATCAGCCTATACGTCAAGTTCTTAGTAATTACATACTAAATACTATTGACTACACACTAAAAGCGCTGTTACAAATAAAAAAATAAAACATTGAAAAAATCATAACCACTGCAATTTTAAAAATTTAGAAATGCCTATAAGACTAGAGGTGGGAATAGATTAGGCCTCTAATAAGGCCCTATAACCTGGCTTACTTAGACTCAAGTTAGATTCAAACCTTTAATTAGGGCCCATTTAGTTAAATAGGTCAGATTTTTTTTTCAAGTTTAGCCTGCAAGTCTAACACAGTTGACCTATTTACACACACACACACACATATTATGTAATATATTCACAAACACATCAGTTTTACCATTTAATTTT